CCACTCCCAACCCCCCCTCTAGCCCTTAGGGAACACCAACCCCCCCGGCCCACTCCCAACCCCCCCTCTGGGCCTCAGGGGACCCCCAGCCCACCCCCAGGCCTCCCTTCTGCCCCCCCACCAGACAGTCCCCCCAGGTCCCACCCCCGACCCCCAGGCGCCCCTCCCCTGAGCCAGGCCTCTCCACGCGGTGTGGGGCGGGGGGGAGGGGCGGCGCGGCCTGGCCTCGCTCGCGCGCCGCTCTGACCCCCCCATTCCCGCGCGCGCGCGAGGGGGCCCCAACTGCCCCTCGGCCTCGCTCCCGTGCGCACGGGCCAGCCGGCGGCGCGCGCGCGCGCGCACTCACCCGACCGCGAGCTCAACCGCCGCTGCCGCCGCCGCCGCCGCTTGGCTTCGCTTGTGCTTTGCCTGCCTGCTGCTGCAACCCAGCCCGCAGTGCGCACGCGCACTTATGCCTCCCCACACCCAAACGAGGCGGCCACCCGCCTGACAGCGGCGCGAGGGGGGACGCCCACGCCGCAGCGCGCTTGCGCCAGAGAGCGCCGCGCCTGCGCAGCTCCGGCAAGCCGGCCCGGCGGCCATGGCGGCGCAGGCGCGCTGGGGAAACGGACGCGCGAGAGCGGCGAGGCCCCACCCCTCCGCACACGCCGGCCAAGTCGCATGAGCGCTCCCCAGCCACCCCGCACGACAGGCAGACAGTGCGCATGTGCACAGGAGGGGCCAACTCCGCCTCGCTGCCGGCCCCTGCACACAGACTGGCTCGATGCGCATGCGTACATAAGCCACCTTGCCTCGTTCCATCCTGGTATCCATTCAAGGCGCATGAGCATCCGAGAAACGCCTGCCTCATTGCTTCGCCGCAAAACGCTCCAACGCGCATGCGCGCAAGACCCCCCCATCGCCATTGAGTATTACCCCGTGTCCTGCTCCATTCCACCGCGCTGGGTTCTCTACTGAGCATGCGCGCAGTTATCCACGCGCACCATCTCCCCGACCTCCACTGCACGCATGCGCACTTCTAACCGCCCCTCCGGCCTGCCCTCCGTCAACCCGTTGGGGGAACCATAGAGCGGGACCCGGGAGGAGAGAGAGTCCCACCGCTGGGGGGGAGGGGGGAGGCGGCCATCTTGGAAGCCAGGTGGCCGCCATGGTTACCATAGCAACAGTGAAATTGCGCGTTGCACATTTATGCAAATTAATTAATGAGGCTAATTGAATGATAAAAATATGAACAATCACCCTGAAAGGATTGGGGGTGTTTTACACCCCCCTCCCCGCCCCCCACGGGGTCACCCTTCCCCCATGGCGTCACCCCCTCCCCGCCCCTCACGGGGTCACCCCCGCCCCCTCGGGACCACCCCCTCCCCCCTGGGGTCACCCCTCCCTGCCCCGCTGGGTCACCCCCTCACCCATGGCATCACCCCCTCCCCGCCCCCTGGGATCACCCCCTCCCCCACAGGGTCACCCCCTCCCCACCCACCCGGGATCACCCCATCCCCCATGGCGTCACCCCCTCCTCACCCCCCTGGGGTCACCTCCTCACCGCCCCCCCGATCACCCCTGCCCCCCTGGGCGACCGCCCCCCCCCCCCCCCCCTCC